GGAGGCTTATGTAGAGATGAGGCATGAAGGCTCAGTGAGGGCGCTTGAGAGTTACAAGTTAGCCAGGAAGGACCTAAAGAGAGAGCTAAGAAGAGCTAGGAGGGGACATGAGAAGTCTTTAGCAGGTAGGATCAAGGAAAACCGTAAAGCTTTCTATAGGTATGTCAGGAATAAAAGAATGACTAGAGTAAGATTGGGGCTGGTCAAGGACAGTAGTGGGAAGTTGTGCGTGGAGTCCGAAGAGATAGGAGAGGTGCTAAATGAATATTTTTCGTCAGTATTCACGCAGGAAAAAGACAATGTAGTCGAGGAGAATACTGAGATACAGTCTATTAGACTAGACGGGATTGAGGTTCATAAGGAGGAGGTGTTAGCAATTCTGGAAGGTGTGAAAATAGATAAGTCCCCTGGGCCGGATGGGATTTATCCTAGGATTCTCTGGGAAGCTGGAGAGGAGATTGCAGAGCCTTTGGCTTTGATCTTTATGTCGTCATTGTCTTCAGGAATAGTGCCAGAAGACTGGAGACTAGCAAATGTTGTCCCCTTGTTCAAGAAGGGGAGTAGAGACAACCCTGGTAATTATAGACCAGTGAGCCTTACTTCGGTTCTGGGTAAAGTGTTGGAAAGGATTATAAGAGATAGGATTTATAATCATCTAGAAAGGAATAATTTGATTAGGGATAGTCAACACGGTTTTGTGAAGGGTAGGTCGTGCCTCACAAACCTTATTGAGTTCTTCGAGAAGGTGACCAAACAGTTGGATGAAGGTAAAGCGGTTGATGTGGTGTATTTGGATTTCAGTAAAGCGTTTGATAAGGTTCCCCATGGTAGGCTATTGCAGAAAATACGGAGGCATGGGATTGAGGGTGATTTAGCGGTTTGGATCAGAAATTGGCTAGCTGTAAGAAGACAGAGGGTGGTGGTTGATGGGAAATGTTCATCCTGGAGTTCAGTTACTAGTGTACCTCAAGGATCTGTTTTGGGGCCACTGCTGTTTGTCATTTTTATAAATGACCTGGATGAGGGCGTAGAAGGATGGGTTAGTAAATTTGCGGATGACACCAAAGTCGGTGGAGTTGTGGATAGTGCAGAAGGATGTTGTAGGTTACAGAGGGACATAGATAAGCTGCAGAGCTGGGCTGAGAGGTGGCAAATGGAGTTTAATGCGGAAAAGTGTGAGGTGATTCACTTTGGAAGGAGTAACAGGAATACAGAGTACTGGGCTAATGGTAAGATTCTTGGTAGTGTGGATGAGCAGAGAGATCTCGGTGTCCATGTGCATAGATCACTGAAAGTTGCCACCCAGGTTGATAGCGTTGTTAAGAAGGCGTACAGTATGTTAGGTTTTATTGGTAGAGGGATTGAGTTTCGGAGCCATGAGGTCATGTTGCAGCTGTACAAAACTCTGGTGCGGCCGCACTTGGAGTATTGCGTACAGTTCTGGTCACCGCATTATGGGAAGGATGTGGAAGCATTGGAAAGGGTGCAGAGGAGATTGACCAGGATGTTGCCTGGTATGGAGGGAAGGTCTTATGAGGAAAGGCTGAGGGTTTTGAGGCTGTTTTCGTTAGAGAGAAGAAGGTTAAGAGGTGACTTGATAGAGACATACAAGATGATCAGAGGATTAGATAGGGTGGACAGTGGGAGCCTTTTTCCTCGGATGGTGATGGCTAGCACGAGGGGACATAGCTTTAAATTGAGGGGTGATAGATATAGGACAGATGTCAGAGGTAGGTTCTTTACTCAGAGAATAGTAAGGGCGTGGAATGCCCTGCCTGCAAAAATAGTAGACTCGCCGACTTTAAGGGCATTTAAATGGTCATTGGATAAACATATGGGTGATAATGGAATAGTTTAGGTTAGATGGGCTTCAGATTAGTTTCACAGGTCGGCGCAACATCGAGGGCCGAAGGGCCTGCACTGCGCTGTAATGTTCTATGTTCTATGTTCTAAATTTACTTTTCCTCTAACAGATGATATATGAACCATTAGTAGGGATTTGCAGTCATGTTTTTGATATCAGGATCCAAGAAAATTGTGCCACCTTGGCAATAGCACACTTTCTCACAAAAATCAACTACACTTCTACCTCCTACCTGATGCCAATCTGTGGGATGAGACTTTTTCTGCACGCTGTGAGCCAAAGTTTGAGATTTGGCAATGAACTTGCAAGACTGGGAAATTCTGGCTGCAAGATACGACAGAATTTGTTCAAACGCACACCTCTCCATAGACGGACTATGCATGAAATTAATACTACCGAGAACAGTTTACTTATCAGAACTAAAGGACCAATAATAATCCGCAATCGGCCCTCATTTCTGCTCAACTAACGAAGGGGAATCCTTAGAATTCTTGCCATAATGCTTTTTCAATGTGCTAGTGGCAATGCCCACCACTACACTTGCCAACCTCAGCTGGAAGATGCTGAAAAGAGACGTCTGAATATGAACACTGGTCTTGACAACACTCTTCCCCTTGTGCATTATTTTGATTCTGAACACGCCAGTTGTAGAATGCAGCGAATGCACAAAGGAGGGAAGCTTCAAGCTTGGCACCACCAGGATCTGTAATCAGCAGCAAAATTTCTTCGATTCTGGTCACAAAACGGAATCTGAATTGCGAAACGTCAGTGCGAGAATGAAGTTTTAGACAGTGTATTGTATGAATGCTCGCTATTTAAATCATCATGAAAAGTCAATCCAATTTATGCGCGGGATACATCTGTGCGTCTTTCCACTGTCCCGCAGTTCACACATCCACACACACACACACAAAAGTACGTGCTATTACTGAACTGGCAGATAGGAGGCATGAATACGCAGCAGATCGCGCCACAGTCAGAGACTTCACCGTGTGTCTGTGTCTGCCCCAGTGAGGACATGCTGATTCCAGCACTATCTTCTCCAATGAACGATTTCAACTAATTCTATAAAAGACAGTTGACAAGAACTCATTATGGGAGGGGTTTTGATATAGTCGGAGAATAAAGGTCAATTAGTAAATATTCATTCAAAAAGAATGTCAGCTAAAGAGCCATTGTAGTTGCCTTTAACTATATACCCAGACGCAAAAAAGGAAGGTTAATTCTCTGATCAAGATATTCAGACTCTATTTCCGACTGCGCCTATAAAAGGAATCACGAGGCACGTATCGATTAGGCGGGTACATTAATATCCTGATAGACCATAATCTACTTTTTATTGATTAAACCATTCTTTTATAAACTGTCCGAGCTCTTTGCATCTCATATGGGAGACTGAAATAAAATGAGGTTTTCTGCGTCCACGTAGCCTTCATCTCTTTCCCCTCACCACACTACCCACCCCAAAAAAAGCCCTCACCTTCCCAAACTGTTACTGGACGCCGGATCAAATACCCACAAAAATCCGTCTCTATCCGCAGCAGAAATAACGCGAATGGCATGTCACGAAGAGAGAAATCAGTGCACATCACATAGAAAGCATCATTATTTGATTTTATTTTTGAATTTTCATTTATCATGTGAATCGTGGCGTGCAAAAACGCTACCCGGGCGCTCTCTCAGTAAGCAGCTGCTGTGATCCAATAGACCCTCAAAGCTACCTGACTCTCGGGCACAGCCGGCATCATTGCGGACAAGCAAGAGTCTTCTCTGCTGTCGCCCGGTGGGCTTTGAGCATTTTACACTGCAACCCCAGCGCCCAGCTCAATTCTGGGTGCTCTGCCTCTGCAGTTGACGGTGGAGCTGTTTTAGCGAGATTTGTTACAAAGCAAACAGAAACAGTCATTCTCCCGGAGCGCAAATCTGGTGCCAAGTGGAGTGCCGACTGCTTTCGGAATATTCTACCTTCGGACTCTCTCGGAGCAGGATATTTCATTGCGGGGAATGTCGGTGTCAACATTAAACCCTCTGCTCCCTCAATCATAACATTCCAGCTCATTAAACAGTCGACGCGCCGCACAAAACTGTGAAGATGAATGTCACCCACCCCCTCCATCACAGTCACAATGACACAAATCTTACAACTGTAAGCAGCACTCAGAGATTTACCAGTGCTCGTGCCCGCTGTTAACACCGACCGAAGCCCCCTTTAAAGAAGCTCCATACCTCGTTTATTGGTAGTACGTGTCGCTCGGCCGGAGAACCCCCCCCCCTCCCCGCCCCCCCGATTAAGTCAGAGGTACTCCGCAAAATTTCAGTCGGGGTGCATCGGAGCAATGAAAGGGGGAAAAGAATCCCTAGGATGTGTTTGGATAAATGTCTGGCGTTATGCAAAAAAAATGTTGCAATTAAAGTGATGGAGCGCTTTCGGACTGTGCACGGCGATATTTTGACACCGTGTGCGTGTTAAATCGCGATCTGGGGAGGGATTCTTCATGGGATATGTGTCACACATGCAAACGAAAATCCCGCGCCACATCCTCAGTAAAAAGTGTGGAACGCGCGACTGCTAACAATTTGCTTCGATCGTGTATTGATTAGTCCTGTGCTCTTGCAGGATTTTGAGTGAACCCCACAGCAAGAGCTGCAGAAATATCGCCCACCTCCCTCTCATGGTCAGTGCAGGAAGAAGCGCAGTTAGGCAGAGAGGCAGAGGTTAGAATCGGAGCAGCAATCACTATCCCTGCGCTGGGATATGATCTGACTGGCATGGGCACCTGTATGAGCGCAGCCCACTGCAACTCTGGGCAAACCGACAGTCTGGCACCTCCTTTACCCGGCGGTGGTTGTTGGTAGGGGAGCAGGGTGGGGGGGGGTGTGTGGGACGGAGGTTGTGGAGGGCGGGGGAAACCCCGCCCACTCCACCACCCATTGGGCGGCAGGCACCTGACGCACCGCCCAGCCCCAGCCAATCGTAGCCAGTCTCTGAGCGTCTCGGGCTGCCATTGGCTGGTGCCCAGAGGGCGCTATGCAAAAGCAGAGAGCGCTGAGGCCGGAGAGCTGCAATCTGTCAGGAGAGAGAGGGAGAGCAGGAATTGAACCACTGCAAACCGGGGCCGGGGGGGTGGGGTGGACACAGAGGTAGCCACAGAACAGAAACAGGGCTGAGAGAGAGGGAGAGAAACAGGGGAGAAAGGTTAACAGACAGAAAAAAAGAGGGTGAAAATAAAAGCTCAGTAAGATCCAGATTAGCGAGGCGAACTCCACAAAGTGTTTGATGAGAAACTCTGGACTCGATCGCCGTGTTTACGCCGAAGAGATGACTGGCCGCTATGTCAGAGAATTTGATGAGAAGCCAAACCCCCCGCGGGAATCTCTTCATCCAGGCCACTGCTGAATAGAGTGAGATCGAGAGGAGCAGCTCAGTCACTAAGGGGAAGAGAAGGCAGAAGTTTGGCTCTCCCGGTGCGATGTGGCAGCTTGGCTTTTTGCGGACGGCGAGAAGAAAATGAAGGAGAAAAGTCAAAGCTGGACAGTGCGCTAGGTCAATCATTAAGAGGGTTTTTATTTTCTCATTGAATCGCTGAGAGAAGAACCAAGAATTCAAGAAGTTGAAGAAGCAGCGGGACGGACTGTGGAAATGTTAGTGTGGTGTCTCCTGGTTTGTATCTGGTGGGACTCAGCCGTCTCTCAGATCCGCTACTCGGTGCCCGAGGAGCAGGAGCATGGCACCTTCGTGGGCAACATCGCCGAGGACTTGGGGCTGGACGTGACCAAGCTGGCGGCGCGCCGCTTCCAGACGGTAGCCAGCTCCCGGTCCCCTCACCTGGAGGTGAACCTGGAGAACGGGGTCCTGTTCGTTAACGAGAAGATCGACCGGGAGGAACTGTGCAAGCAGAACCCGAGCTGCCTGCTGCACCTCGAGGTCTTCCTGGAGAACCCGCTGGAGCTCTTCCGAGTCGAGATCGAGATCGTGGACATTAACGACAACCCCCCTGCCTTCCCGGAGGCCGACCTGACGGTGGAAATCTCCGAGAGCGCGTCGGCCGGTACCCGCTTACCGCTGGAGAGCGCTTTCGACCCGGACGTGGGCAGCAACTCGCTGCGGACCTACCAAATCACCCCGAACGGCTACTTCGACCTGGATGTGCAGACCCAAGGGGACGGTAACAAGTTCGCCGAGCTGGTGTTGGAGAAGCCGCTGGACCGAGAGCAGCAGGCGCTGCACCGGTACGTGCTGACCGCAGTAGACGGCGGCTTGCCCCAGCGTACCGGCACCGCCCTGCTCACCGTCAGGGTGCTCGACTCCAATGATAACGTGCCGGTGTTTGGCCAGCCGGTGTACACCGTGAGCCTGGAGGAGAACTCACCTCCCGGTACCCTGCTGCTGCAACTCAACGCCACCGACCGGGACGAGGGTAAGAACGGAGAGGTGGTCTACTCGTTCAGTAGCCACGTGTCGGCCCGGGTTAAGGAGCTATTCAGCTTGGAGCCCCGTACCGGTTGGCTGGAGGTGAAGGGAGATGTAGATTACGAGGAGAGCAGTTTGCACCAGCTCTACGTGCAGGCCAAAGACCTGGGCCCGAACGCGGTACCGGCTCACTGCAAGGTGCTGGTGCGGGTCACCGACGTGAACGACAACGCTCCGGAGATCAGCTTCAGCACCGTGTCCGAGGCGGTGAGCGAAGCGGCGGCACCGGGTACCGTGGTAGCTCTGCTGAGCGTCACCGATCGAGACTCGGGAGACAACGGGCAGCTGCACTGTGAGATCCTGGGCCAGGTCCCCTTCCAGCTCAAGTCCTCCTTCAAGAACTACTACACGGTGGTGACGGACGGGCCGCTGGACCGGGAGCAAGGAGACTCGTACACCATCACGGTGCTCGCCCGGGACCACGGCTCGCCTCCGCTGGCCTCCAGCAAGTCCATCAGGGTACAAGTAGGGGATGAGAACGACAACGCGCCGCGGTTCTCCGAGGCTTCCTACGACGTGTATGTGAGTGAGAATAACGTGCCCGGGGCGTACATCTACGCGGTGACCGCCACCGACCCGGACCTGGGCCAGAACGCCTACATCTCCTACTCCATATTGGAGTGTGACATCCAGGGCATGTCGGTCTTTACCTACGTCTCCATCAACTCGGAGAACGGCTACCTCTACGCGTTACGCTCCTTTGACTACGAGCAACTAAAGGAGTTCCGCTTCACCGTGCAAGCCCTGGACTCGGGAAGCCCAGCCCTGGGCTCTAACGCCACCGTTAACATCCTCATCGTCGACCAGAACGACAACGCGCCTTCTATCGTCTCTCCGGTAGCCCGGAACGGTACCTCCCGGGAGCTGGTGCCCCGCTCGGCCGAGCCCGGTTACCTGGTGGTCCGCCTGGTGGCCGTAGACGCGGACGACGGCGAGAACGCCCGCCTCACTTTCTACATCGCCCACGGGAATGAGCTGGGCCTCTTCCGGATGGACTGGAGGAGCGGCGAGCTGAAGACCGCCAGGCCCTTCCCCGCCGGTAACACCGCCCCTTACGAGCTCCTGATCGAGGTGAGAGACCACGGGCAGCCGCCACTCTCCGCCACCGCCACCGTCTTGGTGCTGGCGGTCGACAGCGCGGTGGAGCGGCCCGGGGAGAGGGGTAACCGAGCCGGGAGTCCCAAGGAGAACGCGCTGGACCTGACCCTCATCCTGATCATCGCCTTGGGCTCGGTCTCCTTCGTCTTCCTCCTGGCCATGATCATGTTGGCAGTCCGCTGCCAGAAGGAGAAGAAGCTGAGCCTGTTCAGTTGCTTGGCAGGGGAGGGTTGTGCTTGCTGCCGACAGGCCAGGAACCGTAAGAAGAAGCTCAGCAAGTCAGACATCATGCTGGTGCAGACCAGCAACGCCAACGCCGCCCAGGTCTCGGTGGAGGAAGGTGGCTTCGGACACCACAGCCAGAACTACTGCTACCAGGTCTGCCTGACCCCAGAGTCGGCCAAGACCGACCTCATGTTCCTGAAGCCCTGCAGCCCGTCCAGGAGCACGGACGCTGAGCACAACCCCTGTGGCGCCATCATCACTGGCTACACTGACCAACAGCCCGACATCATTTCCAATGGGAGTATATTATCCAACGAGGTAGGTGGTTACAACCTGACTCATATCTCCAACTTTCTTCAACTGCGCACCTTTCTTTCGATTTCAAACATAACCCCCCCCCCCTCCCGCTTTTGCTTCCTCTCCTTTACAAGTTCACCTCTGATAAACTCACTACCTTCCCGTTGAAAATCCTCCTTTTGCGCCTCCCCGTAGAGCTGCCTTCACCTGAAGTGGTCTGAAGTGGGGCCAAAACCACACCAGTTGATTCCTGTGGTTTGGATCCAACATTCTGCGACTTGTAACCCTGTTTGAAGAGGGTAAAGAAAGTCCTCGGGTCTCCTGGCATGAAGGGAAAACGGTCAGACACTTCGTCCAGTGACCAGAAGGGGTTTGACAGGCACGGACTCCCGTAGTCATTCCTTATTTAGCCGCTTCAGTTTTGACAGTAGCTCACACACCCTGCGCCAAGGTCACATTGTTCAGACTTGCAGCAATGATTGGAGTTTGTGAGACTTCTGCATTACACTGTGTCAACCGAAGAGGGTAATTCTCAGAACCAGGACATCCACTATCAACATTCCCCGCTAAAACCAGTCGTAAAGAGTGTCCCAACACGTGCCCTGCAAAAAAAAACCTACCTTGTACGTTTTAAAATGTCATCCAGCCTTGAGCCCATACCAGATGCAACTCCGAAGTATTCTGTAATTGTACAGTCATTAAGAGGTCCGGGTGTCATATTAGCAACAGTAATTAAATTTCCTCATCATGGTGATAGCTTCGAATAAAACTGCATGCGTCGGCCGGATTCTTGTGTTAATGCCTGCTTAATAAGTAACAATTATTGACTTGGTGGTTCCTGCCTTGCAGACAAAACATCAGCGGACCGAACTCAGCTTTCTAGTGGACAGACCCCGTCGAGTTAACAGGTGGGTAGCTACTTGATCTGGATCATCATGCAGTTTTCACGGTTGCTCCGTTTTGGATTCGGGCACTAACACCAGCGGTTCTGTTCACCTTCCAGTTCGGCTTTCCAGGAGGCGGATATAGTGAGTTCGAAGGATAGTGGCCACGGGGACAGCGAACAGGGGGACAGTGATCACGATGCCACCAACCGAGCTCAGAACTCTGGTGAGTGTGCTTAGGGGCGTCTCGAAAGTGTTCCCTGATGGGGGTGATGGGGGAAGAGACACATGCATTTTGCGCAGTGTAACAGAGAATAGAACAAGCATCCCCCTCCCCCCACCAGGCTCGGAGCAGGGGGCTGCATTATTGAATTCGCTCTTCCCTAACTGTGTTGGCGTTCGCAGTAAACCACCCAACTACTCGTATGTATGAATGAATGGACATGTCAGCACAGCATGCTGATGTGTGAATATTGAATTAAGAATAACGTGTACTTAACTCAGCAGCTCAAATTTCACGCCTGGTGTGTACTTCATGCGTATTACGGTTGAGTCACGGACTTTGGAAGAATTGTGTGATGTTCTGTTGAGCGAAATGGAGGAAGTGTGTTATTTACTGCTCATCGCTTTGCGCCGAATCCTGTTCCTTTGTAATATATATGTACTGAGTACAAGCTGTCTTTGAAGAAACTATTCTTAGACTAATTTCCCCTTTCCCTTTTGGTTTCCTGGGGTTGCTTTTATCAAACCCGACTACTATTGCTCATTATGGAAAACACGTTTGGTGCTAACGGCTCAATGGCCTCTTTATTTTTTTTCCGCCTTTAATGAATGTGCAATCTGAAACGAGTCCTCCAAGACTGGCATTCGTCTCCATCATTCCTGGTTTGTTGGTGAACGTGATGGAATTTGGAAAGAAGCGATAGTGGCAGGGTCAGGGAGTTGAGAAGGAGACAAAGCAGTGAGTGGGCTTTTGCCAGATGTCCCCAGTCAGCTCTCACTGGGGGAGGAGATGGCGGGGAGGATTAACTAATTCCCTGGAGCTTCATAAAATTCTCAAACCCCTGATTTGCACATTGCTCAAATCCGGCGATTGAATCTGAAAGGGTCGTTTTATTCGTGGTTAGCATGAATGATCCTTGCTGCTCTCTTTCAAAATGTCGGGTTATTAAATTCACCCATAACACAGAAGATGGCAGTAATGCAAAACTTATCAAGCTCCGCAGAGCCTTTTTACATTACATTTCCGAAATGGAAAATTATTGGTCCGGATAACGAAAACTCCCAAATACATAGAATGACTTTTTTTGAGCTTGTCTGAAATAGCAGTCAAACCAATAACTGATAAGGAAAAGTACAAAACCGGTTCATTTGTTCAGTGAACCACAAGTCTGAGTTTACCATTGACTGAGCAATCTTGAAACGTTGCCAGTGAAACCGTTGATTATCAAATAATTCTGGAAATCAGATCAACATTGGTTTTAACCGGATTAAGGGACTAGAGAACTGTTTTATCTTAGCATGAGCAGTTTAGGATCGTGCATATAAAGCTGATAATTGTTCTAATTCTGCTTTTTGAAATGGCTTATCTGTGTGAATGTATGAACACATTATATTCTGTGCAATGTTAAACAAGTTGAGCAGATTTACAACACTAGGCAGGCAACCAGTATAAATGGCTCTGGAAATTTTATTGTACGAGTGTACACAGTACTAGATAGCTAGGTTGACTGCAACAGCTTGGTATCCTTTTTTTCTGCCAGCCATTGCCCACTCTGTTTTCCTGAACATTATGATAATCTGTTACTTTGGCACAAAAGCTCCACCTAATTTAATGCAATGTGTGCGAAATAATGCACCCCCTCCTGTTGGTGCGAGTGTGTTTGTCTGGATTAAAATAAATACTTCAACAAAGATCTCTAACAACCCATATCCCTTAATTACTCTAATTCCTAGTACTGTAATCTGAGATCACCTCACAGAAACACAGAAGATGACAACAGCTACCTAAATCACTTAGGTGTGTTTGTTTCTGTTGGAGTTGGTGCCAGCCCTTAACTGAAGGACAACAACTGTTAGAATTGAATTATAGCGTGGAAAATGCCTAACAGAAAGAATGCCTAAACAAAGATGCTGGAATTAGGATGGATTAGAATTATACCAAAGCTTTAAGATGAAAGATGCAACAGAGGAGAATGGTGATGTGGCTTGTGTCCTTATGGAAGCATAGTGGGTAAAGAGGTGAGAATGGTTTAAAGAGAGAATTAAAGGGAATTGGGACCTTCCTAGCTGAACGCTCTGGCACCAATGCTGGACAGAGGAAGGGATGGAAGGGACAGATTAATGAAAAAAGGTGCCATGTAGGTCCTAGTTGCATAAAGGCAAAGACACCATAGTCTTGCTTGCTCATTAGAGAGAGATAACTGGTGGTAATTTAACCTGAGGGTCACCATGCCTCAGGCAAAGGGAGGGGGTGGGAAGGAGAGACCTTCATTGTAACCTCAGCCATTGTGGGAATTGAACCCACATTGTTTGCATTACAGCACATTGCAAACCAGTATCAAGCCAACTGACTATTGCAAGTCTATCTTCACAAAGCAGGGATAAATACCAAACCAGAAAATAGTTTGGGGGAATATTGGAAACCAATCAAGTCTGCAAAGTAAAATATAATGGGAGAGTAAGTCAAATGAATTTGGATGTTCTTCCCTTAGCTCTCAATAAATATGGATCTCCATTTAAATCTGCACTACTTAGATGTCCTACAATAAAACCTCATGAATAACTCATGTAAGAAAGAAACATGCACAAAGTTGTATCCTCTGGTGCTGGGCTGTCTTATATTGCATGGAACAATTGCCATATAAGGAAACAGTACTAATAACACGTGACAAAATGGAAAATCCTGAATTTCCAAAATATTAACCCACTCTTTATGGAAAGAAAGAGCACCTAGATGATCTAAAGCAAAGCCTTGGCCAGTCAGTTGTCTAATGTGTCTTCACATCTTCGGGTTGATAGACTATATCCTTGTTAAGAAAGGAGGTACTTGAGTTACTCAAGCTGCTCAGTTTCAAGAATTCAGGAAATTCACACTTGGTTCTTTTACACTGTTGATCCATAGACTTCAACAATATTGGTGGGGAGAGTGGTAAAATATTGGAGAAAGCGCCTACCTCTTTTGTATGAATGGAAAGTTACATTTTGGAAATCCTGAATGCATATCTTCTACCAACCCAAGAGGTCAGATTGTGCTTGATCTTATAGGAAAATTAGCATCAAAGTTCAATGGCTATTAGGGAAGGCAAATTGAATGCTGGCCTTTATTTCAAATGAGTGTAAAAGTAGGGAAGTGTTACTTAAACTATAAAAGGGAATATTCAGACCACAGCTGGAATACTGTGAACAGTCTGGGGATCCTTATCTAAGGAAAGATTTACCAGCATTGGAGGAAGTTCAGTGAAAGTTCACTAGGCTGATATCACATGTATCCAGGAGTTTTTCCAGAAACATCACATGCAGTATGAGACATCCCAGTACAGAGGATATGACCTTGTACATGATATGAAGAGACTGTTGTGTGAGGAGAAGCTGAGTGGTTGGGCCTGTATCATTGGAATATCAAAGAATGAGAGGCAACTTTATTAAAATATACAAGATTCTGCAGGAATGTAGCAGAGTAGATGCAGAGAATTTGTTTCCCTTTGTGGGATAGTCTAGCATCAGAGAGGAATAACTCAGAATAAATGGGGTTTATATTTAAAACAGAGATGAAGAGAAATTTATTTTCTGAGAGCGTAGTGTATCTGTGGAATTCTTTACCCCAGAGGACTATTGAAGTTGCGTCATCAAGTATGTTCAAGGCTGAGACAGACAACTTTCTAATCAGTAAAGGAATCAATGATCATAAGGAAAAACTGGAAAGTGGAGTTGAAGATGATCAGATCAGCCACGATCTCATTAATGGAGCAGACTTGATGGGCTCAATGGTCTACTTCTGCTTCTACATCTTATGGACTGAAAGGGTTATTGGCTGGAAGTAGAATTAAGCTCAAAGGTAACTTTGTAAAATATACGAGATCCAATTCATATCCCATTTGAAACCTGAGAAAATCTTTTGCTAGCATTTTGTTGGTCATATGCATGAAGATGCTGGTGTTGGACATGGCCCATACTTTACCTGTCTTGAAATGCAGGAATATGCCGTGTTAAAGGCAGCATGGTTTCAATGTAGTTGGAATATAATACCAGTATACTATAGTAGACATCAAATAGCTCATGATTATGTTTTCTGTGTATCTCATGCATTGATAAGCCATTGAATGCTTTACAACCGGGAACTAGAATGGGATCGTGCAAACAAGCCACGGAACCGACACCCGAACGTGCTCCCCATTCAAAGCTGTACATAGGCATCCCCACAAGTTATATCAACTTCTGTCTTGGTTGAACAGGGCAGTACTCAAAGACCTTCGCCCCGCTGCGATTGGATTTCAGAACAAAAGAAGTGTTTGTTGATTTTAGCAAACAGTGGGCGTTTGTCAGCCATACAAACGGTAGAGAAAAGGAGCGGGATCGGGGAAAACGAAGCTACACCGCGGCGAGCCTGTAGCAGTAGGCTTCTGCAGCGTAAATATTAGGCAACTTGGAAGAATTTTAGGACATGTCCTCCTGCTAGGGTGGTTGCACTGTAGGTATCAGGCCACCGTTGAAATGCGGTATACTGTTTGACTAACTCAGCTACGAAGTCAGAATCAAACGGCATGTGATCCCCCAATCGCAGCCGCGAAGACCCTACACGTGCTGGTTGTGGTTGGCATTTTTTAAAAACGACACGGTGCTGGCGATCCTGTTCCCAGCTCACGTCCGCAGTATGCAACAACTCAGTGATCAGTAATTTGCTTTCAGATTTCTGCATAATAATTACTGATGTGGGACTAGGACGGGAACCTCGTATTTGCATTGCAGTAGCTTCTTTAATTTAACCTGTATAGACATAAAAGCAATTTTGAAGAGAGATGAGTGCATGATAAACGTGGATCGCCTCCCTCTCCTCGCTGCCGTGCTGAACTGTCTACTCCCATTTGTAGCTCTTCAAGTTCTCTGACTGACGCGGCGCCCCTCGGATGAATAGAGTCGTGACGTTGCGAGCTACTTGAGGATTAGAGTTGCATTGCTAACGTCAGCTTTCATATTGAATAGTGCACTGTGCGGCCGCGGAAGCAGCTCCTCCCTCAGTGTGCAGCTCCAGTGGTGCCAGGCCATGTTGACTAAATAAACTGTTTGTTTCCTGCACGGGTTACAGTGGTACAATGTCTCAAATTCGATTTGAGTGCTTTGCTGTCGATATGTTTTGTTTGTGTATCTCATGGTGGCACCTGTTTCCTTGTTCCCTGTCTAACTGTTCAACCACTTGTCGGACCAGCCCGCAAGTCAGATTGAAGGGGAAAGGTGACATGTAAAAGCTGAAAGAGAGTTGCTGCTTCGTTAATTATACCTGACGCGACCTCATTCCACGGTTTTATTGTCTTTTTTTTGTAACATGGGTTACAGCTCAATTTTCCTGGCAAAAGTTTGGTTACCAATAAAGCTCATGTCAATCGAGCCTCTCCTTGTCAGTGCAAAACCCACTGGACTGCCAACTGTGTCTAAGAAAGCATTTTCGTGCTTACATAGACAAGCGTTGCCAATAGAACATGCAGTAACAAGCACATGTCAATAGCATCTGCTATTGTCAAACCGAAGCGTGGAGTGTTTCTCCATACAAATTAAATCAATTAACCACACCGTCCCTCAGATTGAGAAATACTTAAAATGGCTGTGTTCTGATTGCATTTGTAATAGCCGGAATTGGTAATAATAGTGATCAGCTTTTGTCCTGCCACTCAAGTTTGATATTTTGATCAGTTGACTGAAGGAAAGGACTTTGAGTGGATGGAATGCCTAAAGTGAAAAGTAAATCATACAGTGATGTCAAGTATTTGCCTCAAGAGCCCAAAGAAGGAGTAAACTCTAATCACTTGTGATTTATTTTTCCATAAACCACCTAATCCCGTTGTGTGCCCCATGTGCACTACATGTTGACTGATTTTATGAGGTTATTTAAGGTTTTTTTCAGAACCATATGATGACTTTCTTTATTCTGTGGGGATCACTTAATGCATTCGGGCAAGATAAGAGTTATTTTGATGTAATTGCAGGAGTTGAAAGCCAGACCAGCAAACAGCTGTGAGCAAAATGTTTTCTAATAGTTTTCAAGCAGTGGATCGTGTGTAAGATATTCAATAGGAAATCAGTGCATGGAGGTTGGTACATAAAATTCTACTCTCAGCATTATTTGCCACATTATAAACTTCTAGTTTCATAATTTGTTTGATCCGTATTATTATCAGTAGTCATTATGAATGTCTGATATGAAGATAATTGGAAAGTGTTGGTTAACTTATATGGTATTTTGTACATTGAAATGTTTTCTTAATTTCAATATATGAAACCACTGTGATTTCAATTGATTTTAAAAGATCCATGTTTTGTTGCTGGAGTGTAGATTTATATGCCTATTTATTTCTCATTAATGCACTCTAGCTACTTGTTTGCTTGAATACGCATCCCTTAAATAAAAACAGGCCTCTAATAGTTTTAATAGCCAGGGGAGTTCAGTAATAATTAAATCAGGTTTTGTAGAATTATTCCCGTGCCAACACTGCAACTGCCATTTAACCTCTTATGTCCTCTTTGTTTTGTTTCTGTTTTTACTCTCTTTGATCATTGTTTCCTTGTTCTACTGCCTTAATTTTTCTTTTTTTTGAAGTGGAGGCACTTGGTTACATATGGTAGGCGTTAGTGAACAAATATGCTTTGAATACAAGCAAGCTGTTCTAGTGGCACTGTACAGTGAGCCCTGTCTGCTTGCTGAGACAAATTGTACCACAATCTCATTCATTATTTCTAAATTGATAATATCATACCAGTCCATTCCATGTAGCTAAATAAATGTTCTAATCGCCCAATCCATCTTGTTGAGCTAATGATGCCAGACTGGATCTCACTTTGAATTTGATTGGTATACTGATTGCATTACAAAAAAAGCTTTTCTTATTAAAGATATGAATGCACAATACAGGATAAGAAAATGGGAGTACTTTTGACAATCATAATTTTGATTGCTTTTTAAGTTGAATTTTGTCAAACTGTAATTTATAAATCATGTTGATTTGCAGGTGAATAAATTATATGTATGCGTATGAGGTAGTAGAAGATATCAGTCTTAGTTATAGAACGAATGATGCAATGGATAAATCAGTTGTAATAGCAATAGTGACGATATACATTTTCCTTCAAGCCCTGGATTTATTTGAGTTTTGATTGTGCATTGCTCAAATGTTACTGTTCCACTAATCATGAATCCACAATATGCTGTTATTTTAAGCTTTATTCTTGGATCAGGTGGGATTGTCCGTACCTTACACTGCCAGAAAGCAAAAAGAAATATTATTTATAGGATAAGACCTGCTACTTTCTTATTGACTTACTAGGTATCAGACATGGAATTCATAAGGATTCATACATTTAGCAATAGATTGCCACATGTAAAGTATTCTACATTTTTTTTACCATAAAAAAAATCATTTACGTACTGCCCACTTCTATTGAGCTAAAAACACAGAAGGATGTGCAGAGTGGCTGAATACAGGATTAGAGGGAATGCTTTTCCTCTGCAGATGTGTGTGATTTTTAAGAGGACAACTGCCCCTCAAAGCAAATACAAATTAGCCAACATTATGGCATTGCTAACATGACCTGCAAGTTACTTCTGATTAGGTCATCTTAGGTAACTATTTCTCCAAAAGCAGAATTATTCTCAAAAAGCTTTCTCGAGTTGAATCATTATCAATGAATCAATGATTTTTTAAATGCTTAGAGGTACCATCTTAATTGGATTGTTGTGGGTTTGGCATCACTGGTCATTGATTAACACAAAAAAATCTGTTTAATGTACTCTAGATGATGAATATTGTGTAAAACACTTACCACCCCCATGATTATATTTTATGAAATATGGTTCCTCACCAAGCTATATTGTTACACTTTCAACCCCTTCCTTGAAGCATATACAACAGCTATTTACCAAACCAGTTTCCCTTCTGTCACACAGATATTTTACCCATACCTCTCTCCTTGATAAACAACTTATAAGTCACATCAAAAGTGTTAAATTTATCTTTGAGAGGGCACAGACCAACAACAAAGGCTCTTAGATTTGTGCAGAAATGCCTGCTGTCATCTCTTGTCTTTTTGCCTTGTACTCGTCAGCCATATGGTGGTGAGGCTCAGTTTTCATGTCTTAATTTCAATGTCAATGCTTTTTCTCAGTATCATCACAGTTTTTTTGGTGACATGACTGTGATATCTGAAACAAGCTTGTAAGAGGAGTAAGCATTGTACCAGTTTCTGTCAGCACAGACTTTTTTTTATTATGCTTGATAAATCTCCTCAGTGGAAGTCCCAGAGGAGAGAAGAGGCAGGTTGTAAATAGAGAGCTAGGTTTAATTACATGGCTCTAGGCACTTCAGTAGCATGAGCACTGGTAGGTTGGCGACAGGGCTATTTGAGCTGGTATGAAATTATATTACATACATCTGTTCATTTCCTATGCTTGTACTAACTCGCAATTTGACAGATAAAGTGGATCAATTTTATGAACACCCGAGATGTGAGCACTTTTGTTTTAAGGCAGACCATTTTTAGGTAATTAAATCTTCTTAGGAAATTTCATTTCAGAAAATGGAGACTCCCTGTCAATTTAATTTTTTTTGTGGGGCGGTGGGGTTTGAATACCTCTGAATATCGAGGGCTGGTAAGCAATGGGAAGATTGCTTTTGAGGAGATACTTACTGCCTTCACATTTTTAAACCTCAAACATCTTCATTGTTATACTCATTTCATCTTCTGCTAGTGGTTAAAGTGCTTCAGGGCATTTAGCAAGCTGCATTTCTTTCAGACTTTAACTTTTGCCACTAATGTAAAAGGTAGAGCAGTATATTCAAAATGGCAGAAAATATATGCAAGTGGATTTTTATTTTGCTGCTGTACTTGTGTTTTATTGTTTTGTAAATGGATAGTTCACATTTAATAACATGAACCGAGCAAGAATGGTATCTCAATGCAGGAAAAAATTCTTAATTGGTCCCTCGATTCTACACTCTCTTTGTAAATTATTTTCCTACAGTTGAATAGCATCAGCATATCACTACATATTTACATTAGAACTGCTCCTCGTTCCAAAAGAAACTGTAATTCCTCTTGTAAGTTTGAACCAACAATGCCATCAGCAGGGGCCTTTTAAATCTAAATATAAAAACAATTAGAAATGTGAAAAAGTTATTGGAACAAATAATAAAGCTCATTTATAATCTTTTCAACTGTTGTTTTGAAAGTGCTTTGACAGTGAACTTGAGGACTGACATTTTCTTTTGTATGTCAGTGTTCCATTGTCATGCACATTAGAGTTTGACCTTAATGGACATTGATTAGTGAATTCCACTGTGATTTTGACTTGTAAAGTGCTCCCAGTAATAAGGTGCCCCCGGTTATTTAAAATGTTCTTTCCATTTTTTTCCTGTCTTCTCCCCTTGCAGGCCGTTCACCGAGGTGCATCCTCCTCCAGCTGGGGGAGAGCAGGACGGTCCAGGATTCAGACTTCTCTACGACTGCCGTCAATGCAGCTCTGTGAGCGGCTGGCAGGAGGTGCGATTTGAGCAGGGTGCGTTGGACAATGACACTTCTCTCTCTTTCCCCTCCCTCCATACTCCCTCCCTGGGAATGGAACTTCTTGCTTTCACATAGCACTTCTTCTAGGGGTCTTGTCGAGAACTGATGAAGTTCAACCAACTGAAACATCTGATTTTGTGTGGTAGGGAGCCCTGGGACTCAGAATGTATGTATTTCTGGCTGGGAATGAAGGATCAAACTTCTTGAGCTGCTCATTTGTCCTTGATCTTTTTAAAGGGCAACTCACCCTAATTAAAATGAAAGATTGCTTACCTTTTAGAATGAAGCCCTCCTAAGACCAACATTTATACAGGAAGAAACTTTCAAAAGGATTAACTAACCTCAGATTGCAAAATAACTTCTGATGTGGCAATCCTATTGTCAGCACCTAAAATGAAGCTTTAAAAGAACATTGTCACCTTATAATTTGCTTTGTAACATAATAACATCAAACAATATTCTCAGTCAGGTGGTGAATTAACTTGCCAAACAATTGCATTTTTTTTTATCTTTATGGTGATTACCTGTTAAATATCACTGTCCATTGATTGACCTATGCTATTGTGTTGTATAGACCACAGTTGTCGTCTGATACCTAATCATATTGGAGAGTGCTTGTGTCAGTTTCAGTTGTAAGTACTGGGAAACTATCAAAGCATGGGGGATCACTGCAGTTGAGCTTGATCATATCCTCACCTAAGGTCCAAACAAACCTCACAATAATATTAGAGTAGTAAGAAAATAGAGGCAAACTGGCAATTTATTTTAGCGCAGCTTCCTGAGGCCAACTGCGACACTTCGAAATTGTGGCTCAGTTTTGCATCAGGCAGCAAATTTCGCAACTTTGCAAAAAGGGAATCTTTATTTTTGTCGACAAACAGGAGGCTGGAAGAACACAGCAAGCCAGGCAGCATCTGGAGGAAAGTAGAAATTCGGGTATTACCCTTCTTCAGAACAGTTGCTGCCTGGCTTGCTGTGTTCTTCCAGCCTCCTGTTTTCTACCTTGGATTCCAACATCTGCAGTGTTTTTGTCTCTAACCTTTATTTTTGTAATTTTGTCTTCATCCATTAAGCTATGTTTGCACTGTTCCTCTGTTGTGTACTAGCAGTAGCTTAAGTGCTGACACTGTTCAGATTGTACATCTCGTAAGATATGCCATTTTGCTAGAAGTTTCTGAGCAAGTGTTCCAGTGTTTAGCAAGATTTGTTGTTTGAAATCTCCAATGGCAACAAAAACAAATCTTGATTTATTAACATGAAAAAAAATTTGATAAAATAAAATAGAAATTACTATTAGTTCCAATGTGGATAATGAACAGTGTTAACTGCATTGAAAACACATCATAGGAATGAAGTAACTCCTATTTTGGTACCATTCAAAACTTGGGACAATTTCTTTTGAGTATTAAAATAAAATATCAGTGCCATGCAATCTCTGTAACTAGATGCTGTTAACCATATTATTATATAATATTTTCAAAGGGTGTTGCAGACATCCAATAGCAGGTAAAACTATGATCATCAAACAAAGAATATATTGAAATCCATCTTCAGTACACTTCCTAGAATCCATAGCCTTATACTCAAATCTGCAATACTTAAAACAAAATGAAAATGAAAATGAAAGTCAATGAATATATTGCCATTCATATTTAACTAATAAAATCATCATTAACTAAGTGAAAATGTTATATTCTAGTGTTGCTTCTTCATGGAATGTAGGGGTCATATTTTCTATCATGTATATTCAATTGCTTTTTGATGGTGGGTTTATGCAATTTCTGCAATAATTTATCAAATGGTAAAAGCTATCTATTTTTAAGTATAGACAGTTGTAACTTGAGAGCAAAGTCCACTTATTTGGAAGGTTGCTGTATGCACAAATTTCTTCCCTTTACACATCTGTTGGATTGGATTTGTGATAAATGAAAATGCTTGATTAAAGACATCTAAAGTAAAGATTTTGAAAGATTTTGAAAGATGGTGAAAATTCACTTGAATCTATAACATATCAATGATCTTATTCTGTGCACAATTCCTTTCCTATTTAAAATTTTTATGTTTGTCTTTATAATAGAAGCTGACTCTATAATCTTTTTTATGATGTATTACAAAGTAGTTACAGCCCAGAAGATCTGGCAGTGATTATGCTCCACACAAACATCTTCCCACCCTTCTTAATTTAACCCCATGGACAAATTATTTTCTTTCCTCCCTTGGAGCACACAGGAGATTAATCAGCCTGTCAAGACTGAGCTGGACTTCTGAACGAACAATTCACTTATTGTCACACCCCAGCCTTTGTCTCATTATCTGACACATTTTCCTTTTCAAATAATGATCCAGTTCCTTTTTAAAATTCCCATTTGACCCTGCCTCCACTATACTTGGAGGCAGTGCATTTCAGACTCTAGCCATGTGTTGCATAGAAAAGATTTTTCTTGTGTCTGCATTGCTTCTTTTTGCCCAATAACTTGAACTTGTGGCCCCTGGTTGTCGATCTTTCTCCCAATGGGAACAGTTGCTTCCTTTCTACTCTGTCCAGACCCCTCAAGATTTCATATACCTCCATTAAGTCTCTGCTCATCCATCTTTTCTCCAACGAGAGCTATCTCAACCTCTCCAATCTTTCTATGTAACTGGAGTTTCTAATCTCTGCAGCCGTTCCCTTGACCTTTTCTGCACCCTCATTATGCCTTTGTGTTGGTCCTGAGGGGTGGTGGCCAAAAGTGGATGAAATACTCCCAGTTAGTGTTCTTTACAGGTCTGACATAATGTCCTCGCTTTCGTCCTCTATGTCCCTGTTGGGAAAACCTAGAATGTTGCAGACTTTATTAACCACTTCTAAACCTGCACTGTCAATGTTCTATGTATAAATACACCCAGCTCCCACTGTTTGTGTGCTTCTTAAGAATTTACCATTTTGTTTTATTTTGTCTTTGCTACTTGTCCACCCATTCCACCATCCTGTCTGTTTCTTTTTGATGTTTTACACCAGTATTGTCATAATTCACAATACTTCAAAGTTTTGTATCATCTCCACATTTTGAAATTGTGCCCTGGACATCAATATCTCGGTCAATAATATTTATCAAGAAAAGCAGGTGCCTAATACAAATCTGTGGGAAACGCTGTTTTAAACCCTCCTGCAATTTGAATAACAAGCATTCATCACTACACTTCATTTCATGTTACTCAACCAAGTTTTGTATCCATGTTGCAACCACCCCTTTTATTCCTTGAGCTCTAACTTTGCTTACAAGTCTGTTGTGTGGCACTTTATCAAATGCCTTTTGGTAGTCCATCCACAACACATTAATAGAATTAACCTCATCAGTCCTCTCTGATAGCTCAACAAAACCTCAAGCAACTTAGTTAAAAATTATTTGCTCTTAACAAATCCACGCTGTGTTTCCGCAATTGCATTAGCCCAACTGACTATTCAAATTTTCCTGAATGATCCTTTCTGAAAGTTTTCCCACCTCCAATGTTAAAATGATTGATCTGCAGTTGCTGGGTTTATTTGCATACCCAGTTTTGAATAAATGACATTTGCACATCCTTCATGCAATCCCTCTGTGATGCTGTATGTCCTATACACAAGGGAGGATTGTGATGAATAATCTATTCTGGGAGGACAAGGAGGATTATATACACCAGACACATTGGGAGAGGTGGGCTCGATATATCAGGTACACCAGCAATGGAAGGAGACATAGCAGGTGCATCATAGAAGGGGAGAGATATTCCAGTTACACCAGGGAGAAGGCATTGATGTAACAGGCGCACATGGGAGGGGCCATTACAGTGGGGAATGGAAATTTATATATCAGGTACAACAGAAGGGTATGTGATATGCCAGCTACCCTGGAATGGGGTGATATACAAGGTAATTTTGGGTAAAATGTTTCTGTGCTATTTATCTGAGCAATTACTTACTTTCAGATTTGAATCACCCTCTGGGTAAAGTAGTTTCTCTCCAATTCCTTGTTGGATTGACTTGTGAATATGTTACACTTTTGACCCTTTTACAATCAATGTCAAAAACACCTATCAGGCCAGTCTTCACTTTTTTACAGAGAAGATCCTGAACCTGTTCAGTTTTTCTTAACGGGAATAACCTCTTGCTTCTAAAATCATTCTTGTCATTCCATTTCTTACCCAGTGAAGACACTACAGAACAGTGAAAGCATGTGATTAAAATTTGACTAATTTTCACAGTCAGTTTTCATTAATAATAGATTATATATGTATGGGAATATGTAGTAAGAGAATAACTGAATTGGCTATTGAATGATGCCCAATATCACCGACATCTAATCGTGCTGCATTTGGGAAAATACACTTAATATTTCTTTACTGTGTACAAGGGAGTTTAATCAGTATTTTAATTCTAAATTAAAGAGAAATTAATTAGGCTTAGATGTTCATGGTGTGCAGTATATAAAGGGTATGGTAAGTGTTGAGTTAGTACAAAATACCCTATAGACGCTAGGCCTCCAAAGAAGGAAGTAACAGTAGGATTACATGGTTAAAGATTAAGGATAAAGGTAATTGTTGGCATGCATACATTTAAGTAAAGAACATGACATTTGATCTTGACGGCGTGGCATTAAAGCATTCCAAACATTTATTTTCGAATTGCTTTCTATTCTCCTGCTGAAATCTTTTGTTGAAGACTTTTCTTTGGATCTTGGAAGGAAGACATTTCAGTGAAAACGATGAAAGCAGTAATCTCAGTGTAGAGATGTCCACTAGCTACCAATTGTTTGAATATCGTTGGTATGTTTGTAAACTAATCGCCTCTTTTTTTTATTCTTCACACAGTCCTCAGCAAAAGAACATTTCAAACAAACTTAATTAGAAATGTTCAACTAATATTCAGCAATTATGTTCACATCTGTACTGACATGTGGATATACTCTGTAAAGACCCCTTCTGTTTGCCTGATGTTATAAGAGCATTTCTGCTGCACTTTTGAACTGAAATAGTACACTTATGTAATTTGAAGTATTAATTTAAACCGACGACTTTTGTGTAAAGAAAATAGCAATTATGAAATTAAGAATTTGTCAAATCAAAACAAATTTGTTAAATAAAATCTAGGTGTTCCACCATGTCTGAGAAGGTGCTGTTATCAGATTATGAGTCATTGCTAATTGCCATTGTATATCTTCTACCCAAGTAGGCATTGGGAGAATCTTATATTCCGTTACGCCTGGGATATGTCACATGGCCCAGATTAACCTAATGCTGAAAAAGGAAGGGGAAAATACATATTTAAAGTAAGCAAGGAAAATTAATTGTTTTCAATACAATGGGGTAAGAATGTATCTTTTTAAACTATCCATAAATGTATTCCTTCCTTGCAACAAAATTGTTCCATGTACCTCATGGATGTTTCACAAAAGTCCACCCCGAAGTTTGAGGGTAATCTTGCACTTTATTGTCTTTCCTGTTTGTCAAGTCTAAACCTGTTAAATTAATAAAGTTTGGTGTTACTTTTAATGCTTACTGTGCTGTGTTCTGAAAGATATATTTAAAGAAAATGAGTGCTGAAAAATTTGAGGAAAATTGATATCGACATACTCTCTAATAGGAGTACTTCTTGTTCAAGGTCAAAACTCTTGCAGTTGGAACTCTTTTAGTAGTTTATGTGTAAGAGCATAATTTGATGTGGCATTCATTCAGACAGATCCAAATTGACCCAGGTTTAATGGATTGTTCTTCTGCATTAGTTGCTCTCACCGATGGTCAGAGCTGGGATGTTCCAAAGTACTTAATTGTCTAGGATTGTACACGTTGATGGCTGCATACTTACATCCAATATAGTACTAAGCTGTACATTGGTTTACCAGTGGAGCATTAGACCTTAGTGCACAATGTGCTAATCATCATAATTTAACTTATATAGCATTTAATAGCATGGGTCACCTGATTTGAGCTGAAGTGGTCGTGAAAGTGATCCAATTTAGGTCAGTACCCCTGGGTGTTGAAGAGTTGAAAAATCAGCCAAGTATTTCCATTTTTCCAAGACCCAATGACCCCTGTCTGCTACATACATATCTGAACATTGGGAGGGGACTAGATGGATGTATGATTGTTAAATGAAATATGAATTTCTCATGGAGATTGAACACTTGTGTGAGGTAAGGAGGAGCTGCTGGCACCCATTGAGCCATATTTTATCATGAACAAGAATCTCAGCAAATGTGAGAAGGAATTGGTATAGGGGATTATCCAAGTGGGTTAGTTCCAAGAGAAGTACCAGTACTTGGGAGAAAATATTTCAGTGAGAATTAACATCTTCATGTGAAATGCAAACTGATGAAGGGAGACCATACTATGGTGATATGTCCCATTAGATTTTGAAAAATTGTCCAGTTTAATTTGTACTATCTTCTGGTATCTCACACAAGTCATTGTTTTTCATTTGTGAATTGGATATTATTTGTAGGCTATTTGACAATAGGTTAAGCTCAGTCCTGATCACACCTACTGTATTCAAACACACACACATAACATAGACACACACATAAGGGAGATTGTAGTTGTTTGTTCAGCTTTGTAGAGCATGCTGCTGAGATCAGCAGTATACTGCTATACTAGTTCGACTGAACTCATCTGGCAGTTGGAGCAGGCATAGTTTTAGTTTTTAAGCATAGCTTCTTGTTTTTTTTTACCAACTGAGCCACTATAGAACTCAGAAACTGTAAGTAATTTTGATACTTATCTTTTCTTCTTCACACTTCTGTGAGACAGCAGGCGATATTTTCCAGATTTTATGATGCTATATAAATGAAGGTGATTTATGACATCAAAATTTGATGTGAAGTCATATAATCAGTTATTATGTGGTTGAGAATTGTGGCGTTTCAATTTTAAAATGATCGTTGCCCAAATTTCCATTCTAATCTGATAAGTTGTGACTACTTGGATTGGATATTCACTGTGCAACTGAAGTTTGCACGTTCTCCCTGTGTCTGCGTATTTCCTCTGGGTGCTCTGGTTTCCTCCCACAGTCCAAAGATATGCAGGTTAGGTGTATTGGCCATGCTAAATTGTCCATAGTGTTCTGGGATGTGTAGATTGGGTGGGTTATAGGGGATGGGTCTGGGTGGCATGCTGTGACAGTCAGTGTGGACTTGTTGGGCCAAAGGGCCTGTTCCACACTGTAGGGATTCTATGATTCTCACTGATATTAATTGAAAGATTGCTATAGCATAACTTCTGTTTGATTTTTAAAAAATGCCCCATGTTCAATTGGAGAAAAAACATATGCAAAGTGTTAAAGATTTCAGGCAGAAAGCTCAGCATTTTTGAAAAGCACAGAGCTATCATTGCAGTGTTCTTCAAAATTATTGCTGCAAATTTCTTCAGGGTAACCCTTGATTTTCTTATCTTCAAGCAGCCAACCTAAATTGTGACAATGGTCTTCATGCCTATTATCACCTTGTTGTTCACATAAATAAAGTTTCCTGAATGGCAACTGACAAAAATTTCAGTCTACTACAGGAATTAAAAGAAAGGAACTTCAAAACATTCATTTTGCATTCCAGTTATCTTTTACTTTCTTTCCACAATTACCCACTACTACTTCAAATTTGAAGTAATGCACTTCATATTCATAACATTTAAAACAAATTCAACTCTACAAAGCCCTGTCAAGTATCGTAATGACTTAGTATTACCTCATTGTTGTTTGATTACTTGAAATAATTTATCCCTGAAACAAATTTTGACAATCTGAAAACAGTTCATCTTGGGTGGAAGTTTACAGTGCAAGGTAATTATTCAATTCATAATCTCATTATTGTTGGCATTATTGTACAGTCGAACAAACATTGAATTTCATGGAAAATTGGTGTAAATTTAGCAACAAATTCATTGCCCTGAATTATGAAGTAAACTGCTGCTTTATTGAGTATTGTTGAGCAACAGAGACAACATTACAAAGTTTGAGGCTCCAGAAGGCGAAATTTTAATTTTGGCGTTAGATCAAAGCTGGTGATAGGGGAGTGACTGACCATTTCATACTACAATAGAATTGGAAATTGAGCAGGGTGCACAACAGGAACCAAACTGCTGCTGTCATTTTTGGTCTCAGGGAAACAAACATCAGCCTTACAATGCTTGAAAGTCAGTAAAATTCCTCTACTCATTTCACAGACGGTATAAGGATTTAAGACTCAGCTTGCTCAAGAGTACAAGGTCACTTCTGCACTCTTCTGAGAAAAAAAAATTAGCTACGTTATTGAGATCAAATAGAAGATAGTCCGCCTAACATTTAAAGTGGAATTGTTCTTACGACTGACATTAACAATCCTGGCAAGCAGCATATTTAACATTCTGACTGCGCATAGTACAATACAGTAAATCAGTGTCCAAAGTGACTTTAGAATCTGTTGCACACCAGTTCTTGTGGAATGTCTTATAACAGATAAGCTAAAGAGGCTTTTTCACTGGCACATCACGTTAGTTCATTAGTGTAGTATATATCTTAAAATTGTATTAATGTACGATCATTATCTGTAATTAGAACTATCCTATTGTCTGTATTATAAGTGGTACCTGCAGTATAAGTCACTCTGGCTTTAACAGTCGTCATTCTTTATGTAAAATATGAAAAGCAGAGCAAAATCAATGTGACAAGTGAACAGGACACAAATGTGACCTTTCTACTTGTCTGCAACAATAAGAAGGGTAAACATATCCTTTAAAAAGTGTATGTTTAAATTCACAATAGGTAAATCTGTAAGTGCCATTATCTAGAGGGAAGGCTCATTAGAATTTTAATGTGTCCTTGGCACTTCAAGTTTCAGTGTAGTGCTGTATTTGGAAGATCTTTGTTCATTATTTCATGGGATGAAACCTGGAGGATAAATCACTGTGTGGTTGATTACTGTTTGGTGTTTATCTCAGTGTACAGAACATAATTAAAGGCAAATTGTGAAAATTTGTACTGGATGAATTTTGTGGGTGGGAGCGAATCTGTTTGAGACTCCAGTGAAATATTGATACATAACCTCTTAGAACCTTCTCACCTAATTTAGAAGTGGCATCCTGCACTCCTCACTAGAAGGTTAATGTCCCTAATTGTGTTTATTTTGACTTTTTTTTTAGGAGCTGATCTCTTTTCCAATTGCACAGAAGAGTGTAAAGCACTGGGACACTCAGATCGTTGTTGGATGCCCACCTTTGTACCCACAGATGGCCGCCAAGGTCCTGACTACCGCAGCAATCTGCATGTTCCTGGCATGGACTCTGTGCCTGACACAGAGGTCTATGAAGCTCCAGAGCAGACTGGGGAGAAATCCTTCTCTACATTTGGAAAAGAAAAGTCACATCCATCTAATTTGGAAAAGAAAGAATGTGATGCACTTCTGCCCAACACACGTGCGCCTTACAAGCCGCCATATTTAAGTGAGTGTTTGTCAAATCAAAATATTTTTGGTTATGAACTTTCTTGTGCTTTAAATGAAATCATTTCCTTTAGTGAAATTGAAGTTGGTTTTAATAATTTTACATATAATAAATATATTGAGTAACCTGTCCATGCAAACTATTATTTTAAACAAGGCTGACTTTTTTTTAGTAAAGCGTAATATGGGTTAATTATGAAACTGAACCAGATACTTGAATCCACCTGGATTTCAGTAGTTGAGTTGATGCCGAATTGTTAAATGTATTGAAAGTGGAAATAGAAGTTTCCATACACTTGACTCAACTCTGGATATATTTAAAGCATACTCAAGAGATACAAAGGGTCTTTGGGCACTTCTCAAATCAGATTTAATATAACCTTGGAACTGTCCTCTGTGTTGTCAAATCTAAGTAAACTGCGATTGCCTTCTCCAGAGGACATGTCATAGCTGTATCTTAGAATTAGGCTAAGTCACTGCTTTGGAGTTGTATTGCAACTTTACTGAATATTTTCATTATTTATTTTTGTTTATGCTGGTCAGGAAGAGATCAATGCAAGGACGTAAGATATTTTCCCACGTGTTGCATGTAGCTTGATTTCATATGTATTTAATGTTTTTTAAGAATGAACAATTCCACTTTAAAATGGAAATATTCAAGCTATTTATATTTACCGTGAATTTTACAAGCTTTCCATAAATTAGTTGTTTAGTATTGTTGTCCTACAGTCTTACGTAGCATTTGTTCCACTACTGTAAAACTGGCAGCATTAAGTTATACTGGCAATGGAGTACTGTTCTGAAATCAGGTTCAAACAGTATATTGTAAGTGCACACTTGAATAATCTGTTGATTGGTGTCCAAATATCATTGAAATAGTTAAGGTTAACTAAGAGCTGAAGGTCCTGTTGGAGTTTTGTTGATGTGAGTAATTGAAATTTGGATTTGGGGATCCTTCACTTTGTAAAGGCACTATATAACTGAACTGTGTGAACAAGTAATGTCCCAGATTTAATTGCCGGCCTGTGCAGGTATGATTGATCTCTGCTGAACAGTCAATGAGGTACTGCAATTATCACCACACCCTTAAGAGAAATAAACTAGGGCTTTCACAGTAAATCACTTTCCAGCAATTCCTGGCAGAAAGGCTTATGTAGCTTGGCTTATCCAGCGTTGCTACATTCCATGGTCTAATCACCATATTGCCTCTGAGGGGCCAGACAGATGAAGGGCCAGGCAGAAATAATGAAAACTTGGGCAAGTTATCACAACGTTTCTAGTGTCCATGAAACCATTCTAATCAAGAAATCAATGACACCAGGAAGGGGGAAAGAGAAATAATCTGAATTGCAAAAGACAGAACTGCAAGAATGGACCAGCAGGGAACAGTTTTCCCCTTAAAAAATGAAAGTTCCCTTTATAATTGTCGCAATTATAAAGTGAAGTTGAAGTGAAATTAAAGATGTATGAATCTTTCACACGGAGATGATATGGTGCTCATGTCAGCATTGCTTAGTTGATAGCTTTCTGAATCGAAAGGTTATGACTTCAAATTCCATTCCAAGACCTGACTGCAAAACTAATGCTGGCGCACAAGTCCAGTACTGTTGGATTGCTGCATTGTCTGAGGTGCTGCCTTTCAGTTGAGATGTTAAATAGTAACAGTGGTAACACTTTTCATAGCATTATATTGAAAAACAGAAAAGGAGTCATCCCTGCATCTTGTTTAGTATTTAGCTCTCAATATACAGTTCAAAAAAAGTCCTTGTCATATTGTTGTTTGTGGAAGCTTATGTACAAATTGGCAGTCAAACATTGCACCAATGACTCTTCGAAAGTATTTAATTGACTGTAAACCATTCTGAAGTATCCTGTGGTTGTGAAAGACACTATATAAATGTTAGTTTTTCTAGTTTTCAGATCTGTGTTGATGCTAAGTTTAGCTTCAGTTATACTGCATATTTTCTGCTGCAGGAGAGCCCAATCCATAATTGCCCTTTAATGTTGCATATTATCCTACATAATTACACTTTGAAAAAAGAATGAGATAGATTTTCATCATCCTTGCTCCTTGGAATAGTCTTGTGTCCCATGAGCATGTAAAAAAAGGAGTGGAGAAAAAAAGTCAAATAAGAATTTATTCCATTGCCTTTATCATTGGTAGAAGTTGGACAATGAAGCATCACCTTCAATAAAAGCATTGCTATATTTTGATGGGAATTTGTTGGGAATTGTCAAATTGTATTATTTGGTCAGCAAACAAAACAGGGCATGCTATAGGTTTTCCCTGTAATATTACTGCTTACAGCCAGTTTATGTGCTTGCCATTTGCTGTTTTAAAAAAAAGCGTGTTTGCTCTTCTATCTTCCTAATTAGCATATAACTGCATTTTAAATGTTTATATGCAGTGTTAAAAAATGTTGGCCAGTGACATGTGATTTTAATTTTGAAAATATCCATTTTTCTTCTGCCCTGTCTCTATTAGTGCATCATATATGTTTGTATTTCCCCATGCATTCAGCTCCTTCTCCATTAAAAACCCTTCAGTTTGGTATTCCTCTTAGACCTGTGAGATCACTGATTTTGCAAATGTTTTCTTCTGCAGAGTTAATCGTATTAAAATGACTGTTTTAAGGTGTCATGGTGTGGTACATATTGCAAAGCATTTCCACAATATATATTTAACAAATCCATTTTAAATTAATTTTGAGTCTAACACAACTGTACCTCAATGCTCATTCTTATTTCAATCATACAGTCTTTTTTAATTTGGCATTCCAGTTGCTAGTCATTTGTTTAATCCTTTTGTCACCAGCATCTCATTATTATTCCATTGCCTTTATCATTGGTAGAAGTTGGACAATGAAGCATCACCTTCAATAATTGCTCTATTTTGATGGGAATTTGTTGGGAATTGTATAATTGTATTATTTGGTCAGCAAACAAAACAAATCCATTTTAAATTAATTTTGAGTCTAACACAATTGTACCTCAATGCTCAGCTGTTTTTGTCCTTTTACAACCCTCCATACTAAAGAGGCTGGTATTTATCTGTCATATAGGGGAGAAAAAAATCATTGTCATGGTCCAAAAATATGAATGATAGCCCCAAAGTGAAAAAAATACAAAAACCTTTACAAGAACAAGGGATAACACAGTGTGGAGCTGGAGGAGCACAGCAGGCCAGGCAGCATCAGAGGAGTAGGAAAGTTGACGTTTCGGGTCGGGACCCTTC